TAGTGTCTGCCATCTTTCCAATTCGTCGTGTGCTCTTTCTGTTGGTGTATCTGTATTTGTTTTTTTTGATGTTGTATTTTCGTCTTTGAATCTTTTTTTTCCTGATGCGTTGTACTTGAACGTTTGTTCTTCGAATCCGAAAAAGTCTAGTACGTTGTTCCATTTTCCCAATATTGATTTGCTTAGGTAGTTTATTTTGTTGTATAGTTTTCTCGTTACCGTATCTTCTACGTTGTCTGCTTCTCCTGCTGCCGGTGCTTCCGTCATTTCGTTGAATACGCTTCCTAATGTGTCGCATCTCGGATTTAGACTGAATTTTAGTGTCGGTGCTGCCGAGAAGTAATTGTGCGTTCTGCTTACCTGTGGGTTTATCCATACTCTGTTTTGTATGTTGCTGTCGAATAGTTCGTTCATCGATTTTGATTGATCTGAATTGTAGTTTAGTAAGTAATGTTCTTTTGGTGGTACCCACGTGTAGAATGTTGCATCGTCGATTAGTCCTTCTATTTTTTCTGCTGCGAACGTTGGTGATGCTACCTCTATTTTTATTTTTATTCCAGTTAGTCTTATTCTGCTGTATCCTCTTGCTTGTCTTAGTATGTATTGATCTCTTGCTGATCTTGGTACGTAATTGTGTGTTCCCGCTTGATGTTGTGCGTACGTGTCCCAGTCTTGGAACGATGGACTCTGCCAGTAGAATGCTGCTAGCGTTCCTTTTCTGTTTAAATCTGCGTCTTCCAGTTTTAGATTGTATGCTTTTTGCCAGTGTAGTCGTTTTGGCGTGTCGTACGCGTTCGTCTCCGTTCTCGCAGGCTTTCCCGGTCCTCCTCCGCCGCCTCCTCCTGCTCCAGGATCCATCTGGGCAAAGTCCATAGGTTCTCCACCAGCTCCATTTCCTCCACTTCCTCCTCCGTTACTTGCTCCTGCATCTCCTCCGCCGAAAGCCCACATGTCGTGCAATTGAGGCGCTTGATTGCCTGATAGATCGCCTTCGCAAGGTTTTGTTTTTTTGGGTAGTTCTTGTCCTTCATCTAACGATGACGAGTGTTCAAAGTCGAATGATGCTAGTGAGCCAAATTCTGGTATTTCTTCGTTTTCAATATTTGGTTCGTCTATGTTTTGGTATGGTTCATCTTCTGGCCATATTATGGATGGCATTTCTTCTATGCTTATTGCTGGATGTCCTGACACCCATCCTTGTTCGTGGTTTATTAATATTGGTTTATCCCAATCGAGTAGATGCGGCCGTTCGTCTCTCCGTAGTTTGTCAGGTTTAGTTTTTTTTTGCTTTCCTTTTTCTACTGTTATTTTTTCCCATTCTTTTAGGCTTGGTCTCTTGAATTTTTTTTTCGGTGCTCCTGGATCTTTCGTGAATGTCTTATCTTTTTTATTTTTTAGCCAGTTTCTGAAGAAACTTTTCATTTGGTCTCGTTGTTTTGCTCCAAGTTTTCCTGGGCTTTTAGTATATGTTCTATCCTTCGCTGTTGCTCCTCCATCAGTCTTTTTCGGAATATTTTTCGGAGTATGTAGACTCGCAAACACGTTCCTTTCTTTCCTCTCTGTTTTCTCTTTTGGGGTTGAGGTAACATGTTGTCTTTTTGATTTTTCATGAAAATCTGCCCATTTTTCATCCATTTCGTTCCATTTTGCGTTGAAGTCTCTCCATTCATCGTCGCTGTCGCTGTCTATCGGTCGTTTGTGTTTCTGTTTTTGTTTTTTCTTTGGCATTTAGCCTTCGTCTTCGACTTCTTCTGGTAATTCACTGTGTCTGTCTAATGTGAAGAATTCTCTTCTTTCCTTTTCTCTGTATATCTCTATTCTTTTTCGTCTCAGTGTTTCTATATCTGTTGCTTCTAATTCTCCTCTAGATATTTTTCCTCCTGGTATTGGTATTGGTTTTACTGGATTTCTGTTTTTAGGATTTTTTTCAGATGCTAATCTCTCTTCTTCTTTGTGTGCTCTCCATGCTTTTTCCTGCGAATGGTACGGTTCTATTTTGTCGTGGTTCACTTTATGGTCTCTCGGATCGATATCGTCCCAGTCGAATTTTGGTTCTTTCACATCTGATTTGTCCACTCCTTGGTGTTTTCTTGGTATGCCTCCTCCTTGCGCAGTTCCCGATTGTTCTCCGTCTATTTCAGTCTGATATATTTCTTGCCAGGTTGGTACGTCTATGTATTCTTGTATCAGTGTGTGTACGCTTATTTTCTCTACCTTTTCGAAATCTTTGTTTATCGGTGCTTCTCTGTTTATTATGTCGTTGTTTAGGTCTTTCCACGGATGTTCCGGATCGCTGTACGTTGTTATTCCCGTTAGTAGAGCGTTCCATAGGTTTATCGCTTCTTCTTGGTCCATCTGTCTTCCTATTGTTGATATGAATCTTTCGTATATCCATATGTATAGCTCCATGAATTTTTCTCCTTCCGGATTTTCCTTGTCAATGTCCAGGAATGGTTCTAGAGCTTCTTTGTATCTGTTGTTCCAATTTTTTTTGTATACTAGTTCTTCTAGTTGTTGTTCTGTGTACGCCGATATTGTTTGTATCGTGTACAGTATCAGGTCTGTCAGTACTGCCCCCGCTAGTCCTGCCGGTCCTCCCATTGCGAACGCTACCGAGTATTCTGTTATTTTTCCTATGGCTCTCGTTAGTATTTTTCCTTCGTCGTTTGGTACGTAATGTTCTATTATGTTTGTTATTATGTCTATCATCATCTCCGGCCCTTGGTTTTTCACCCCTCCTAGGAATTTTTTCCCGGTGTGTACCGTAGTTTTTTTTATTGCGTCTGCTAGTTTCTTTGGATGTTTTATCTTTTCCGAGAATTTTATCGTGCTTTTTACTTTTTTTTTCACATCCGCCGACGCTTGATCTCTTACTGATTTTGCTGCTTTTTTCATTGTCGATTCTCCTTTTGTTCAGTTTGTGACTGAACAGGGGTCAACGGGTGGGGGCAGTTCCTAGATAGCGATTTTTATATATATATGCTGAAGAAGTAACACACCTTAAGGGTAAGAAACCAAATATCTACCTAGTAGAGGGCGGTATAACACCCCCTGGGGTAGGGAGGGGGGTGTAGTAAGGTATTACGGTACAGGGTACGGTACTAGGCAAAAAAAGAACTGCGATTAACCCCGATTAACGTATTTGGTTCATTAAGGGACTACTACAGCGTATAAAAAGCTTTAGGGGAAGATAGAGGCGAGAAAACGGTTGGGAAATGGTATCTCAAATGTACAGAAAATCACTTGAGTCACGTGATGGAAAAATACAAGTAGTAAACAAGTCGCGTACAGCAGGAAGACGCGCGTTACTAAAATTAGTAACTGTGCGCTGTCAATCACGGTTTGTGCGTACGCGATTAACATAGCGGACGTGAGAGGAATAGCGGCGCGCGGAGCCAATCGGGGAAGCGGAAATGAGCGCGTAGACAGCTAATTGGCTGAGCGCTGAAGCAGGGAAGCCGGGCGAGTGCATAAAAAGAACGGAGAACCGGAAAATAGTCACAGTTAAACTCATGGCATCAGAGGAGAATGATTGCGGAAATTGCATCTTATTCACGATAGTACTGTGGTTAGTATTAACATTTACTAGTGTTATATTTGCAACTGCTGTGTGCACATTCTACACACACGAGCAAGCAACATTCAACGGCCAAGAAATTGTGCATATTAGAGGCATATTAGAAAAAGTGATAGAAAGTGCGATAAACAGAACGATCTAAAATGGATTCAAGCAGCAGCGACGATGTGGCAGAAGTGCCAACAATCAACATATCAACTGATGAGAATGAACAGAAAGATATTATCGATACAATGGCTGCTGTGAGCAGCATCGAGAAGATAACTAAAGAGGAACAAAAAGAACTTGAGGAAACCGAAAAGGAGCTAGACGAAGACTTTGCTAGTTTTATACAAGAGAAAGAGGATATCCAAAAGGATAAATTGTTGCTAAAGGATACGCTCCTAAAGTTTGATGAATACATCAACCTTACACACGACAAGGAAAAGAGACTAGAAGATAAGATTAGCGAGATGGAGGAGACTCTAGACACGAAAACAGAACAGTTGAGAGTGTTCAGAATGCAGGTGAACGTCCTCGAAAACGAAGCCGAAAGAACGATCATCGAGCACAGGGCCAAAGTGAGTTGCCTTAAATTAGATTACAATAGAGTAGTAACTATCTCACAACAGCTGCGTAATATGCTAAAATACGCGGCAAACACTGCCGAGTATCATGACAAGAACCTCCTACTAAGTAACATAGAACATAACATTCAGGAGGCACATGATGTTGTGAGAGAAGCTACCAGAAGCCGTAACAGTTATAAGAGGAAATACGAGAACTTGCTTGAAGCGCACGAGGATCAAAGAATACTCTATGATCTACAGAATGATACGAAAGAACACTTAAAGCAATTAGAAAATAGAGAAGATGATGTAGACAGCCTTGAACGCCGCAGCAAATTTATGCTGACTCGTATAATAGCGTACGAGGATAGGGTCTATGGGGCGGAAGCTCGCTGCCATAGCCAGATTGCGGAAAACGAGAAGTTGAATCGTGCTATGCACAATGAGAGAAGCAAACCAATACACGAGGCGCAAGAACACTGTATGGTGTGCGAGAAATACAGAAACCATCGCAACAGAATAGTAAACACTAGAAGGGTTGAAGACGCTAAGAAGCAGAAGATTGAACACAACAACATGATTGCAATGGGACAAAACAACGACATCAGAATCAACCTAAGCCATCAATTCGATAACGAATAAATATTGTTAATGTTAAAAAACAAAGAAAAATGTTAAAAAAGTTATTATTATGTTGAATTATTATGTTGAATTATCATGTTAAAATGTTAAAATGTTGAATAAAAGTTAATAAAAAAAAATGAATAAAAAAAAAAAAAAATTTTTTTTTTTTTCATTATAAAATTAAGGTTGGTTAAACAAAAATTCACGTTAAACTGTACTTATTAATCCTTCTCTCCTTTTTTTAATTACAGACGAACGAACTTACAGAATATACCAAGGATAAACGCAAAATATTGGTAAACTTCTTTGAGACATGTGCCAAGAAGCATTGTAAACGATACACATTGGGGAAGAAACATACTAAGAAACTAAATAAAATCCAGGACAAATTGCACTGGCTGATAAAGGAAGGTAACTATTATAGTAACAGTGGAACGAGGAGATTTTACCAGGCAATACACCACAGACAACAAATAAGATTTGAAGAGATTAGAGACGAAACAGATAGAATCATACAGGACTATGAGCAGCTATTATTCGGATTCCAAAACAAGCTTGGAAAGTACAAGTGCGAAAAAAGGAGAGAAGCAGAGGAAACAGCAAGAGAGGAAAAAAAAAGCCTAAACTACCAAAACTGCAACTAAGCGAAAGTGAGGAGGAGGGACAGTGTAGTGGAAGCAGCGTAGAGGTGGTGTGGGGAGGACAAACTCCTAAAAGCAGGAAATTGAGTAAGAAAAGAGCAAAGGAGATATTACTAGAAGCTAAACCGGTGCATTGGTGTGGACTCTGTCAGAACGAGGATCCAAGGCACCAGATAGACATTGAACTCGCACTGATAGATTGGAACGAGTTGATACATTCCGACCCAGTGAGAGACAACGTGGACAATAAAAGAACGAAAACGAGAAATAAAATAAGCGAGGTAAACAGGGAACTGAAATTTGGTTGCTTGGCGGACATTCTAAGATACTATTTACTTGATTGGTATTTTACGCCGTTTGCAATAAGAAACTAAAAGAAAATGGCTGAAGACAAAGGGACAAATGATGCCGTAAGTAGAGCCCGGTATTGGGCAGTAACTATTGATTTAGCTAAGCTTGGGGACGGTATGGCAAACAATATCGCACTGATAAGACCTTACGAGGAACAGTTATATACTAGTACCTATGGCGAAAATGGCCAGAACACCATTCAATTGGAGTTTGGTACGATAGAAGATCCGGACGAATATGTCCAAGAAAATAAGCATGTGCATGGGGTATTGTCTGCCATAGATACCAAAACCGGCAAAGCATTGTACCTTAGGAAAAAAAAAGCTATTAGAATGTTGGAACATGCATTAACTAGCATGGGTTGCGATTGCGTTAGATTGATGAACCGATATTGCAAGCCAGTATCGAATCTGAAAGCCTGGAAACGTTATATCATTAAGAATAGCCCTAATCCAAATCCGGAAGACTTAAAACCGGAAAAGAAGAAATTCAGTGCGAATAACTTAACCACTATGTCAAATTTAATGAGAATTGTAAATGACTTGTTAGAAAAGGAGGTTAATATTAATGCTGAAACAATCCTACAGGTATTGCAGGAGGAGAATCATGGCTGGAGACGATTCAGACTGTGGAGGTTGTATTATATTCACAATCAGTTTCTGGTTAGTATTAACATTTGTGTCAGTAATATTTGCTACGGCAGTTTGCACGTTCTATACTCACGAGCAAACAGAATTGAACGGACAGGAAATAGTACACATAAGAGGTATACTAGAAAAAGTACTTGAAAATGCAATCAACAAAACAAACGGATATGGATTCAAGCAGCTCGGATGATGTGGCAGAAGTGCCAACAATTAACATTCAAACGGATGAAAAAGAATAAGAAGACATCATGGATACGATGGCTGCAGTTGCAAGCATTGAAAAGATAACAAAACAAGAACAGAAAGATTTGGAAGAATGCGAAAAAGAACTCGACGAAGATTTCGCAAACTTCATACAAGAAAAAGAGGACATTCAAAAAGATAAACTACTGTTGAAAGACACACTACTCAAGTTTGATGAGTATATCAGCTTGACTCATGACAAAGAGAAACGATTGGAAGACAAGATAGCAGAGATGGAAGAAACATTGGATACCAAAACTGAACAGATACGAGTGTTTCGAATGCAAGTCAGTGTGCTAGAGAACGAAGCAGAAAGAACAATAATCGAACATCGAGCCAAAGTAAGTGTGTTAAAACTAGACTACAATAGGGTAGTTACGATTAGCCAGCAGCTTAGAAATATGCTAAAATATGCAGCTAACACGGCCGAATACCATGACAAAAACTTGTTGTTGAGCAATATTGAACACAACATACAAGAGGCTCACGATGTAGTAAGAGAGGCTACAAGAAGCAGAAATTCATACAAGAGAAAGTATGAAAACCTGCTAGAAGCTCATGAAGATCAAAGGATCTTATACGACTTGCAAAATGATACAAAAGAACATTTGCGACAACTGGAAACTAGGGAACAAGACAGCGACAGCCTAGAAAGACGATCAAAGTTTATGTTGGCTAGGATAATCGCATATGAAGACAGAGTCTACGGCGCTGAAGCTAGGTGCCACAGCCAGATAGCAGAGAACGAAAAACTTAACCGGGCTATGCACAATGACAGATCTAAACCGATACATGAGCCTCAGGAGCACTGCATAATCTGCGAAAAATACCGACAGCACCGTACCAGAATTGTGAACACAAGAAGAATGGAAGATGCCAAGAAGGCTAAGATTGAACATAACAAGAGAGTTGAACTCTCTAATGATAACGACATCAGAATTAATCTGAATGATCAATTTAATAACGAATAAACATGTTAAAAAAAAAAAAAGTTGAAAATAATGTTAATGATGTTAATTATGTTAATGTTGAGTTATTATCATGTTAATGTTGAGTTATTATTATGTTGAAAAATTAAATAAAATATAAGAAAAAAAAAAAAAAAAAAAAAAAAAAATTTTTTTTTTAAAATATTTTTTTTATAATAGCGAGGATCCAGATCACCTTGAGAAAAAGGCCAAGTTCATGTTGACGAGAATCATTGCTTACGAAGACCGTGTATACGGTGCCGAGGCTAGGTGTCATAGCCAAATGAACGATAACGAAAAGCTCAATAGACCAATGCATAACGACAGGTCTAAACCAATACATGCTCCACAAGAACATTGCATGATTTGTGAAAAGTATAGGCAGCACAGAGAAAGAATTGTGAATACCAGGCGAGTTGAAGATGCTCAAAAAGCAAAGATTGAGAGGAACAAGATGGTGGCAATGTCCAACGAAAAAGACATCAGAATTAATCTGAATAACCAGTTTGAAAAAGAATAAACAAAATGTTATGTTAAAACACTTGATATCATGTTAAAAAACAGTTAATATTGTTATGTTAAAGTTATAATTATGTTAAATTTGATGTTATGTTGATAAAAAGTTGAATAAAATATAAATAAAATGGAAATTGGTAACCGAATGTACAGAGAATCACTTGAGTCACGTGATGGAAAAATACAAGTAGTAAACAAGTCGCGTACAGCAGGAAGACGCGCGTTACTAAAATTAGTAACTGTGCAGTGTCAATCACGGTTTGATCGATTCCAGAGAGATTTACAAATGGAGCGGGCTTATGGCCGATTTACATCCTTTGTTCGACGGTTATTCCGGACAATCTGTCGTCCTTTTCGACGATTATCATCACATTTTACATACAAAAGGTGGACCTCAACCAGCGATGTCTCCGACTTTGATGTTGAACATTTTGGACAAATGGCCTCTAACTGTGCCTGTCAAGCAGGGAGACGTACCTTGGTTTCCTCGTGCAATTTTGTTTACAAGCAACTTACCTTTTGAATATAATTTTAAGAGATATTTCTCGTATTTCTCAGGTTACTCGGTGACCGACGGGTTACTGGCCATCATGAATGGAGTAGCTCGGGTAGCGGGGGAGGCGCCTGTGAACGACGTTCGCCTCCGCCCTGTGGGGTGCGCAGTAGCTTTGCTTCACACGAAGTGTCTGTTGTTTATGGTAGCACAGGCCGATGCAGCTGCTGTGCGCGATCTAAACGCTACCTATGGTGGCGTAACGCCACTTGGACCAGAGGAGCGGGGGTTTATTCGTCCTCTACCACCGGGAGTTCAACCTATCCCGAGGCGACAAGCCTCTCCTACCCCTCAGATTCGACCGGAGGAAAGGGGGCATGCTGACCCACTTAGGGAAGTGGAATCTCCACGGCGCGATAATCAGCGCCGTAACGAGCCAGTACCGGACGCAAGGGAATGGCCGGTAATTCGAATGAACTGCAGAGACAAGCTCCACCTCCCCTTGACCATCCACGCTCACCGGAGCGCATGGATGCAGTCGGAGGGCTTCCTAGGCCCGTGCCAGTAGCAGCAGCTCCCCGGGGGGGATTAGACCCAACCGTTGAGGTGGCCAGGCGTCTGCATCAAGTGCAGGAGACCGTTATGGACTCACAGTCATCAGCAGCGGTAGATGGGGCGTTGTCCCTGCTAGAACTAACCATGTCTACCTTGCGCGCGTTTAAGCGCTCTCTTCCCTCTTAAGGTGTTAGCACCGGCCCCTCTACAAATGGTGCGGGACAGGGTGAAATTTTAGGAGCACATCTTTCTTTGAGTAGACACTCCAAATGCACCAGCATCGTCCTCTTTCGGGGTTCGGTACTCATTCACATGATCTCCTCGGCGCTATTCTTACATTGCTGGGGCCATGAATGTTTCTCCGTAATTCCACACTCCGCCTCTAGCTCGTTCAACTTGGTGCTATTCCTAATATCTGTCGTTGGACATTGCCTCTCCCCTTGCCGCCCTTCCAGATGCAAATGCTCTGGAAGGGACGTTGCCCTTCTTCTTACTGCCACTCCAGGGGCGAATGCTCCGGAGTGGACAGTGCCCTTCTCCTCGCCGCCCTTCCAGATGCAAATGCTCTGGAGGGGACGTTGCCTTTCTTTTGCTGCCTTTCGTCAATGCTCCAAATGGAGCATTGTCTCTTCTTTTGGTACCCCTTCGGGGGCTAGTAATTCTTTGATTTAGTCGGGGAATATTTTGTTACAGCAGGAGTTAGTTTTTTGGTTATTTCTTTTTCTTTCAAGAGGGAGATTGGTTGATGTTTCTATAGCCGTGCTCGCGTTGGAGTTGGTAGGCGCTAGGCCGACGGAGTTATGTGGCAAGGAGCCTCGCAGTTATGTTTAAGATTGAGATAAAAAAGAATCTCACCCAAAATTCGTCCACCGTGCTGCCATATCTCCAGCAAAATTCTACTTGCCATAGCGGTTTATTTCATTATTGAGATCAAAACATCTCTTTAAGTTGGTTACAGGGCTGCTGGGAATAAACACATTCCCAGTGGTGTACATATTTCATATATGTACAGTAACATGGGTGATTTCTTGCCCTAGTCTTATAGCATCCAGGAATCAAAACATTCCTGGGGCACACTGGAGATAGTTTATGCGTCTGGGAGCGTTTCGCTTGTTCTTTAGGGATTAGCCACAGTCCCGACCCTGTTGTTGCTTATTCATTTATTTTTCTTTAGGGTCTAGATGCATAACAGGGCGTGTGTTCGCCTATAATTCAGCACACATCATTTGGCATTGGATACGACAATTTACCCATAATGTATGTTTTTTCCACAGCATTATGTTGTACTAACCATATATGTTTTGCATTTCAGAACAGTTCCTGTGGTGCCTGTGCACCAGTCTTGCGATACCTCGTCCCTCTCATACAGGGCGAGCCTTTTGTGTATGTGGTTGTGGAGTCAAGGACTCCTATCTAAATTAAGACCTAATTGTCTTACCCAAAATTAATACCACCTACTGAGGTGTCTTCGAACCAAATTCTATCCGAGCGTTACCGCTCTGTTTTAGAGATAAACCCATCTCTTATTGCGACTGTTACCAGCTGCTAGGGATCAACACATTTCTAGTGGCGTATGCATTTGTTATGTATACGGTAATGTTAGGCGTTTTTCTTTCTCACCTGGGTGTATTCAAGGATCAACACATCCTTGAAGACCCTCGAAGACACAGGCTGTGCATGTGGGGGGTGTTCCAGCTCCTTTTTGCACGGGGATCTACCACAGTTCCCATCCCATTTATTTGTTTTTAGTCCATTCCCCGTGTCGTGGGATTTATGGCACAGTCGAGCGTTTCGCTTCTCAGTATCCTCCCATTGTTTCAGAAAAGAGAAGGGGGAAGAGGGCAGTAGTAGAGGCCCAGTTTGAAACAAAATTTCAAGTAACCAGATCGTGTCAGAACGATGGAGGCCCCCGCTCCGAACTTATCAAAAGAAAACAGGGGGGAATGTAGTGCCAGTGCCTGGACTATTGGTAAACAAAAGTGACCTCTGACCCGTGATGTCACGGACCACGCTGTCTGAAGCCGGAGGCGCCGAGAGCAGCACTTGAGGACTAGGACTAGGACAGTCCGGAAGTCGAAGTCGGAATACAGAGGCCTTAGCCCGGACTTGCTTATACGATTCAGACGGACATTCCTGAATACGGAAAATGGTGAGTTACGGGCCTGGGCTCTATTATTAGTCTTCTAATTACTAGGGTAGTTTAAGTAGTAATGAATTAACCTGTGGAGCCTAGCAAACTCTACATGGTATCAACTCGATGGTGATCCCTATGATCAACATTATAAACATTGAGTTTAGCCTTTGAATTTCATTATCATTTTAATGAGTAAAAAATCGAGTCAAATTTTAGATATTCCGACGTGAATTTGGCCGCTCTTTTCATTTATATAGGTTGATAACTGTCGAGACGTACAAGGAAATCATCGCGAGAGAAAAACTGAAAGGGTCTTTGATGCGTTATGGCGGAAAATTTTAATATAAGACGAGAGAGAGAAAAACAGAGAAGAAATGCTTATGCCTTTGAACCTGTTCTACAACAGGATCCACAACAACAGCAGCAACAACAGCAATTTCAACGACAGCCTTCTAGTAGTAGTAGTAGTAGTAGGCCTAGGCTTAGCAGGTTAAATAATACTGACTGGTGCAGAAGTGGAAACTGCAAGCCTATGCCGAAAGAAAAAGAATGCCTTGTTGCTGTAACGCTGATTATTTGGTTGCCGTGTGTTGTATGATCAGCGTCACTTCAAAGTACACAAAATTACACTGAAACTGTCGTGATGACCCATTACCATTAAAACTATAGACAAGTAATTCTAGAAAGGTATTTTTAAAACTTTACATTGCCATTAGGGAGAGGATTTCAGTGAAAAGATGACAGACGTCGATTGCATTTTGAAGAATGAATCCTTCAAAAAGGTCTGTTTGGACAAGGAGATTTTAGAAGTGGTGTTACGATGAGCTTAATAACAGGTTGTTACCCAACCACCATCCATATTGTTTGTTTACCTAGGGCCTGCTTGGAAGCCTACCTAGGCGTAGGGCCCTAGCCTAGACAATCCAAACCTGGCATAAGTACTATAAATAATAGTGATATTAGGCTGGGCGTAGTATTTAATCTACGTACCCTATCTATAGGCCCTAAGTCATAACAAACTGTCATAAATTATTTCCAGCATTAGACACACACAAGCCTAAGAAGGACAGTAGGGGCCTATTTACAATTTAATGAACTGTGCATGGAATAGGCTATCCGAATGCGATCCTCTACCCAAACATTCGGCCTTCAATATGGGCTGATTTCCGCGCATATTTTGCCGAAAATTAAGCTTTGATCTAATGTTATTATATAACCAATGTATATATGCAGAAGTTAGTATTTTTCCGGCGATTCCAGTGCAAATTTGGCATCATCTGCGCAATACTAGTAACTATCTGCTCACTAGGTCCAACTCCCTGCTGACAGTACATACCTCAAATATACAATACAATTGATGTTGAAGGTCAATGTGTGATTTCCGCAGATGACAGGGTAAAATATCCAGTCATTTCATTGTTAAAATACCTGGGCTTATTATTACATTAGAAAAGCTTGGTAAACAAACAAGTCTTTGCTATACTAATTGTTATTGAACTATTAAAGAGTCTTTACATCTAATTTTTAAAGTAATTGTTTTATTGCAATTATGATAAAATACTATATAATGTATTAGTGAAATAATTAATTCTATTCAAATAACTGTTTAGACTGGGTATTGTTGCACCACACTTTGCAATAAATTTGAATAGGGACTTTGTTACAATGATGTTTAAATACACTATTAAATATTTTCAATAAATATGATCAGTGTGGCCAGCTTTACACCAACTTCCTAAGGTGATGGTTAGTGTGGGGCCGATTCCAACCGGCACCCTAACCTTTTAAAGATCATCATTAATTTAATACCAATATTAAGGCCCCATTAAAAAAAAATATTAGTTTATCACCCCCTCACTCATTGTTTTTGGGGAAATTCTGATTTTTTTTTTTTCAATCAACATATATTTTTTATTTCCAAAGGTAATTTTTCCATCTTTTTCAACTTGAAAAGCTCAGGATTTCTTGCAAATATGTTTATTGGTACAGTACAACAAAAACATGTTTTTTGAATATAAATTTGATTTCCTCCCTAATCAGTTTTTATTCTTTGATAGGGTGATAAACTAATAATTTTTTTTTATGGGGCCTAATAATTTAATTTGTTTTTGAATAATGTAAGAATAATACTCTGAATTCTTTCTTGTAGGAACTATCGACATATTGGCTATCGCTGCTTCATTTGGTGGGTGTAAAACAGGCTGAAAAAACGTGACAGAAGGGTCATTCCATCATGCACTGTGTGGGTCATTAGAGACAAGTTTCCATCAGTTGATGAAGACTACACTGGGTTTATTGATGCTGTAGCAGATAATGAAATGGACTTGTCACTCATGGTAACAAAGGAAATTTGTTCAGCATAGACCCATATCTTTCATATCTGTACCCTGTCAATTGTGTGTAACATTCACAGCTTAGGCTGTGTAATTGAATTTCTTGTTGCTCTTGATACAGCTCATTAACAAATGACAGGATATGGTATTAAAATTAATTCATAATAATGAATGAAACTTATGACAAAACATAGAAAAGAGGCTTGTCAATAAATTACAGTACATCAAAATCACGAGATAAACCGACGCAAACAAGTAGATTAAAAACGTCGGAAAACGAACCCTAATTCGCGAAATGGAATCGTCAAACATTTTTTATTAGTATCTTGAACCACTCGTTGGCAATGCAAAAAGGTTTTAATCCCCAACCACGCGTTGTAGACGGGTATACGCTTTATTTTGCGAGGCTCCCTAAAAGGGTAGTTACCATTAGCCAACAACTCTGTAACATGTTGAAATACACTGCTAATACAGCAGAATATGAAGACAAAAACTTGCAAACATTGGAAAAAATGTGCAGGAAGTTCATGACGTGATGAGAGAGGCAACAAGATCTAGAAACTCGTACAAAATAAAGTACGAGATGTTGTTGGAGAGTCACGAAGACCAAAAGATATTACATAACTTACAAAGCGATGTAAAAGACTACGTCGACAGGATGGATAGGCAAGAAGATGCCCATGATGTGTTAGAACAAAAAGCCTACTTCATGCTAACAAGAGTGGTAGCCTACGAGAATAGTCTACAGGGCTGAGGCAAGATGCCATAGCCAGATTATGGACAATGACAAATTGAATAGAGCGATCCACAACGAACGCTGTAAGCCAATACATGCTCCACAGGAACACTGTATCATATGCGAAAAGTATCACACACACCAACAGAGAATCGTAAATACGAGAAGGTGCGAAGATACCAAAAGAGCAAAAATTGAAAGGGAAAGATGCTCCACTATGGCTACACAGAAAGACATTAGAATTAACCTTGACGACCAGTTCCAAAATGCATAAAATGTTTAAAAAAAAAGTTATGTTACCATACCATGTTTATATTAAAGTTAAAAATGTTATTATTACCATGTTATGGTAATGGTTAGTGGCGCTGTCCTATACACGCAACTCCTGTACACTACATTTGCTCTAACTTTTGCTATTTCGTCTTGATTGTTTGGTCCTCTGAATGAATTTTTTTATGTAGTCTGCTGTTTAAATATTGAAGATGTGGTGTAAGTCTGTTTTTCCGAATTTTTTGTGCTGTACTCTGTTGCAATTACTGGTTTGCAGCCTAAGCCTAGTTTCACCATCAGCTTATTTTGTACATGGTGGCTCTCTGTCGTACTCTCGTGATGTTTTGTATGGCTTACAATACACCAACGCCTGCTGTGAATCGACTGTTAGTGGAATTCCTATGGAATTGACCAGGTGCTACTATAACAATACCGAACAAAAAGCATTTGCTAAACGACGCAAACGAGGAAAAAGGGGAGGTGTTAAGCAGCGTTTACGTAGGAGACCTAACCGACTTCCCTTACCTTCTATCGTTCTCTCCAATGTCAGATCATTATGTAACAAACTTGATGAATTAAATGCGTTAGTAAAATATGACCGTGCTCTCCAGGATACCAACTTGTTTTGTTTTACCGAAAGTTGGTTAGGAGATAATGTGGATGATAACTCGGTTGTTCTCGAAGGATTCTCGATTGTCAGAAGTGATCGTTCCTTGGATTCTAATAAAACCAAAGGTGGAGGTATATGCTGCTACGTAAATAAACGTTGGTGTTCTGACATTACTGTCTATAATAAAGAGTGCACCCCAGATGTTGAACTCCTTTCTGTGTCCCTTCGACCTTATTACCTACCAAGGGAATTTGGCTGCATTAAGGTGCTAGTTGTCTACATCCCTCCAGACGGAAACGCCGTAAGAGCGGCTGATTATATTGCTGAACAAGTGAATGCTTCTTCTGTCCGTTCTCCGAATAGCCCTGTCTTTGTACTCGGTGATTTCAACCACTGTCGTCTGAATCGTGTTTTACCAAATTATAGGCAGTATGTTACTTGTACAACCAGAGGTTACAAGGTTGCCTTGACGCTACCAATTGGGACATTTTCATTGAATCAGCGAAAGACATAGATGAACTGACCGAAACTGTTTCTTCTTATATTGCATTCTGTGAAGAAATCACTATTCCTTGCAAACAGGTTAAACTCTTTCCTAATGATAAACCTTGGGTTTATCATTCCAGATGCTTCCTGGATTTAATGACAAAAGCCTTGCTGATTCCCTCAATAAATTTTACACTAGATTTGATACCATTAATTTTGAAGATAAGTCAAAAGATTTTTGTAATGGCCTTGTATTAAAGGATAATGAAAGAAAGAAAGAAAGAAGAAAGAAATTGACCAGCAGAAACAGCAGCTGGCCAACCCACGTTTTGGCGGGGTCGACGTTCAGTTCAAGCAGGGGGCAATGAGGCAGCCAGCCAAGCAGCAAAAATGCCTGATGCAAATGAGGACCCTCCGGGGCCACAGGCAGGGCCAGCTGCTGCTGGAAACCCACGAGGGTTCCCGGCGAATCAGCCCGAAAGGACTGAGAAACAGCCTCGGCTGCCCGCCAGACGGAGGAAGGCGACAGCTGCTTTGGCGGGAGCAGCTAGTCTGTTCTCCGAAAACTGTAACGCCACCTCAAGTGGCGCCGCAGTAGCTAGACCATCCCTCGTGGGTGAGAAAGCCACTGCACTGAATCATTACGCCGCTCCGAGTGGCGCCGCAGCAGCGGGACCATCCCAAAGGGGTGCAACTGCTGTTGCACATGAGCATACCGCTTCGGGCGGTGCTGCAGTGGACTACTTCAATGGAGGTGAGGCTACTGCAGCACGTGTGCCTAGGCCTCGGCCCAGACGCCCGTTCGCATGCCCGGTGACAGGGTGTGGGAGGGTTGAAGATAACCCCAAGAACCACTTGGCCCGGCATGTTCCCGTGTTTTGCACGGAGGCGTCCAATGACTTTGGGGTTGCAAGCTCCAGAGCTTGTTGGAGTTACATCTGTCAGCTGGTCCGGCTGGTACCTGGTACGAACAGGACAGTGGAGGGCGCTATGGACCTCATCAATGCCAGCTCTTATATTCGGCCTAGAGTGAACTTCACTCCTAGGTTGAGAAGGATGATGGTACTGATGCAGAGAGCCGCAGGTCGCCTCCCCTTGGAGTTACTGACTACTCGTTGGAGCCAGTCAGAACACCTAGTGCGTTGCTGCATACTAGGTGCCTCCTTTTCTTGACGGCAAGGGTGGACCCTAACGCTCTGCTGCTGTTGAATCGTCGTTTCGGCAGCGGTTTGAACCAGCAAGCTAATGGTCTGTTCTATAAACCCGTCAAGGGACGACCCCAACCAGGGTCTAAATCGGTCAGCGGTGCACAGACCCACTTCTGGGGCGGTCTCCCGTGCACAAACGACAGAGAAGGGTGTTTCTGCTTTTAGCAGACCCCGACGACCCAAGCAGGGGTCGGCTGCAGTAACACCTGGCAGTTCCACAACTGGAGGTCCTCAATCCCAACGGGGGTTGACGTCAAGTTGGGCGAGTGTGACACGGGGGTGGGGTACCACAGTGGACAGACAAGCTGGACCCAGACCGGTCACACCACGAAGGCCACCCTCCGCTAGTCAGGGGCGCCACCCAAGCCGACCCGTCTCTCCTGTGAGAGACGAAGCCTTACCTTCTCAAAGGAGTCCTCGGGCCAAGAGAAGGGAGTTATTACCCGCCGCCATACGGGAAGGGGAACGGGCCCTTGAGGCCCTTTGCTGTCTAGAAGAGAATGAAGAGGATGATGGCGAGCTGTAGTCCCCGGACTACTGACTGAGTATTTTTATTTTCATTTTTCATTTCTTCAATTACTTGGGCGTTGCGAGTAAGCAAGGGATTTCAATATAAACTATTGCAGCGCGTCAAAATATCATTAAAATCAAATTTTAATCTATATATATATATAAATATATTTGATACAGTATGGAAACTGCTTCCAAAATTCGAAGATTATCATATCTCCACCCCAAAATTTAGGAGACCCCCATGTCTTCTCTTTTCTGCATATTACAGTTATTTTATTTTTGCCACCATTGACTTCTTATTTTATTCTTATCCGTACAATTAAGGAAAAAGAAAAAAATCCAAGAACGAAAATGAGAGGTAAACAAACCTCTTTCTAAATTTTGCTTATGCTATATGTCATTTAATACCATGTGATGGTTCCCTCTCAATGTTAAAATGAGCGTAGTGTTTGTGTTCTGTTTACATGGTGGCGAACTTTGCCCGTTCTCAGAATTATTGTGCACTATTTAAGAACAATTCACTCATTTTTATTTCTAAATTTACTTATTTAAAATTTCAAAATATGTACATATGTTACAAGGTGTTCTAGTTAAACGGGATTTTCACATCCCCTTTTGGTAATTAATGTTAAATTGTGGGGTTTAATTCTACCCCACGACTGCATGTTCTTGGTGTTTCTTGTTACAAAAAAAAAATTGACAGGAAGAGGAATTCTGTGGATTCTGCACCCATACATTCATTTAGTGGAATGCGCCAAACCAGTCAGGAATATGTCAACCCGGACCGTCTCCCCCATCAAAAACAAATAAAAAATAAATAGGGGAAGAGCGTAGTGCTAGTCAGCTGGCAGTCACCTGATCAATAGGTTCTGGTGATCACATGATCCCATGTGCAATGATGTCCTATGACGTTGCGCCCTGGGTTGACGTCACCGTCCCAACCAGAGACTGAAAGGTGAAGTGACTTGAGATTTGACGATAGCACTGATAACACGTTTACTATAATACAAACCGAAGCTTTCACCTGGACCACGAGCCAGTAGTGATTTAGGTGAGTTATGCTAATATATACATCTTAAGTCATCTGTAGTAATAAATATAACGCGTTTTACTATATATGGATAAACAAGACTGTTGAGATTGCATTATACTATCAACAATACTTTGGTTAGTATTAGTATTCATAAGTTTACTAGCAGCCGTAACGTATTTAAGCGAATACTCGAATATTCTATCAAGTGTACTAGATTCACGATTGCAAAATGTCGAACAACAGTTGCAAGGACAAAACTACAGCTACTACAAATGCTAAAGATGCAATGAAAGTGGAAATTGTACACAATTTGGAAAAACTGGAAAGCCTAGCAGCTGAAAAGGATGAAAATCTCGATAAAATGCTGGCGACGGGAAATGAAATGAATAACATCATAAACGATGCGGAAGGAAGAAGTTCTGGAAATGAGGAGAGAAATAAAGCGACTAACATTTGTGCTTGAAAAGGAAAGAAGCGAAAGAAAAGACGACGAAGAAACTGCAGAACTAATCTACAAGGAATCGTAAAACAACTTGACAAACAAAAAGCGAAAACTAGAACAGCTCGCATGTGACTAACGTTTACTTGATTTGTTATTGAACATTACTACGTTACTGAACTTCGAATTTACAATGAAATGTTATGTTATGTTATATAAAATGTTGAATTTATAAAAATGTTAGAATTAAATATGTTGAAAAAAAATGAATATATGTCTAAACTCAATTATTAAAAGTACCTTATTGAATCTTACAGAATATCGAAGAAATTAAAATAGACCAAAAAAGACGACAGATCTACGGATCGACGACTACTAAAATACTGACAGAATACTTTGAAAAAATTACCAGCAAAGAAAAAAAACTAAATTTTTAAACGGTATTGGATGGATAATCCTAGAAGCTGGCTACTACTCTGACGTATCAAGAAGAAAAGCAAACAGATCACTAGAAATAATAAAAACAAAAAAAAATTGACACTATCATAGAAAACATTCAAACAATCTATTAAGATAGTTAGCGTTTATGTAAAAAAGCATTCGAAAAAATTGAAGAAGACAGACAAAACAGACAGAACCGAAGACGACAGACAAAAAGCTTAAGAGAAAACAACCCGTAACTGTAATAAGCGAAACCGACTCCGACTCTGACATTGTGACCTGGGACGACTCGACCAATCAAACATTCACTCTAACGCAAGAGAGCACAAGAGACCTGCTGGAAAACGCCACTCCGACTCACTGGTGCAGACAGTGCCAGGAACAGAACAAGAAACATCAGCTAGACCTAAGCCTAGCACTTGCCGACTGGCAAGAACTCATTAGCTTAGATCCAATACAAGATAACGTAAACAACAGAAAGGAGATTGCTAACAAAAAATCTCCGAGTGTAATAAGGTATTGAAATTTGGCTGTCTGGCCGACGTATTAAGATACTACCTGTTCGACTGGTATTACAAACCGTACAATAGAGATTAGGAAAAAGATGTCAAACGACGACTTGGGTACTAATGCCCTAGTCAAACGTGCAAGGTACCTGTACTATGCCTGCACGATAGACCTAAAAAGATTAGGACCGAATCAGGCTAACAATTCGGCGCTGATCAGACCTTACGAAGAGCAGACCTACACAACTACTTACGGTATGGCACCGACGGCAAAAAAACGATAAAATTGCAGTTCGGAACCTTCAAGGATCCCGACGATTACGTGACAGACAGCAAACATGTACACGCCATACTGTCGTCGGAAGAAACGAAAGGCGGAAAACCTATATACATGAGAAAGAAACTTGCCATAAGAATGTTGGAACACGCTCTGACTGCGTTAGGTTGCGAATGCGTCAGGTTGATGAATAGGTATTGCAAGCCGGTGACAAACTTGAAAGCTTGGAAAAAATACATACTTAAAAACAGCCCTAAAAATCACGAGCTAGAAGCCAAAAGGCCTGAGCCGAAAAAATTCAGCGTTCAAAATCTCACCAGCATGCAAAACCTAACCAGGGTAGTGAACAAACTTGTAAATAAGGAGAACATAACGGTAGATTCGATACTACAATACCTTCAAAAAGAAAATAATTTAAAATTGTAAAATTATTTGTAGATCAACTTGACTTGAAAAATCTAACTAAGTGTAACAACAATGCAAAACTGCACGATAAAATTGAAACTGTAACGCAAGTAAATGAAAATCTGATAAAAAACGGTGTAAACCTGATAACAAGAATAAGTTTAATGTTCATGCAATTTCTATACAGAACGGAAAACGACAATCTGAAACAACTGTTTTTCTACGGATCGACAATTTGGAACCTAAGTGGGGGTGAAAAGACTACGGTAAAAATACACAGTAGCAGCCCAGAAGTTAA